GTATTATGTTGTATGTATTACTTTGACCGGACTTCACGAGAAAAGCCATCACCACCACCGTAAGGTGGTGGCTGCCACCTCCAACCACCGCCTGTCGCCACAAGGGTGGTTGGGTGTGTGTGTGTGTGTGTATACATGTTATTTGTGTGTGTGCGTTCAATTGGATATTGCATTGTAGTATTGTATTTTGATCGGAATGATTTGAGGAAATTCGTCACCACCACCGTAAGTCGCCATTGACCACCACTACCCAAGGTGGTAATGGGTGGTGCCCGACTTTACTAGCAGTTATTTAACCAAAAAATTTAACAAATGGATTAATTGGAATATGATTGAGTTGGAAACCCTAATTAGGGTTTAGAAAACCCTAATTTTGGGTTTGTTGGTTTTGGCTCATCGGGACCCGTGTTTTGGGCCATTGGAATTGAAATATGAATTAAACCCAATCACACCATATGATTTATCTAGTAGAGTGATGGACTTAATGGATTAAGTCCTTAATGGGTTAAGTAAGCAACACTTAACCCTAATCGTCATTTTATGTGAAAACCCCTAATTGGGTTTGGGTTCTTATTGGGCCACTTCTTGGACTGACTTACTGTGGGCCTTCATGAGCTAAATGGGGAACATGCTTATATACTAAGGAAATTATTGGGCCTTAGGATAAGGCCCATTGGAAAAGCTTGGGCTTAATTTGGAAAATTGGGTAATAGGTGGGCCATAATTGAGCCTTGATGATTATGAGATATTGGGCTATCAAAATTCCAAGTGTTCAGACTAGAATAAATGGTTGGGCCATATGATAAGACCATGTAGATGTTTGTTCCCAATTTGGAAAATTGGGCCATATGTTGGGCTTTGGTTCATTGATTGGTTATTAGGCTTTCAGAGTGTGTGGTTGGACCTTGGTTTTGGACCAAGTTATGTTAAGGGTAAAATAGTCTTTTTACCCTAAGCATGGACTTGTGGTTGTGTATTAGAACCCAATTATTAACTAGGCGTTGTTTTGATGTTAATAGTTCGGGAATCTGTTGACCAGTAGCTAGAGTTTTATCCGCGGGCCTTCGATAGTGCTAGGTGAGTCTCCTCACCATACTAATGGGTCTAAGGCACCAAGGCTGACCCATTTATTTAGTTGTGATGATTATTGGGAATGTGCTATTGATACATTATGTATTTATGTGAAGACCATGCGGGGGTTCCCATGGAAATTAGTTATATGTTGTATGCTAGTTGATTGTGTGATATTTGGTATGCTAGTTGTCTTTGTGATACTTGCATGGAAGACCTTGGGGGGTTCCCAGGGTACCTAGGTATAAGACCTTGGAGGGTTTCCATGACATCCTGGGTAAAGACCTGGGGGGGGGGGGGTTCCCGAGGCACTAGGGTTTAAGACCTTGGAGGGTTTCCATGGCGTCCTTAGTTAATACCATGTGGGGGTTCCCATGGAATTGGGCTAAGACGATGTGGGGGTTCCCATGGCACCTGATGTAAGATCTGGAGGGTTTCCAAGGCATCCTTATATGTATTCATATTTAGCTCATATGTTTGTATGTATGGTTTGATTGATAGTTAGTGAAGACCATGTGGGTGTTCCCATGGCAGTGGGCTAAGACCATAGAGGGTTTCCAGGGCACCCGGAGTAAGACCTTGGAGGGTTTCTAGGGCATCCCTATATGTTTGTATGCATGACCTATGTAGTTGATACGGTTTATGTGGATTGTGTGGATTATATGGGGTATGCTTTGGGGAACTCACTAAGCTTCATGTTTACAGTTTTGTTTATGGTTTCAGGTATCATTGTTTTGGAAAGGAAGGGCTCAACTTGATCGCAATGCACACACCCGTGTTTTCCGCATTATGTTATTTTGGGATGAACTCTGATAAATGTTTTTAATTAGCAATGTTTTTGAAATACTTGGATTAAAAGATATCTGTGTTTTAACTATAACAAAAATGAATTTTTTACCCTTGATATTTGGGTGGTTACATGCAAGTCATGTAGATATCGAACATCCTAACAATAATAAACCATGGTCCGACATTTGTGCCTTCGACTTGCTAAACACAATGAGGAAACTCACATCAAGCTACTGAATCACTTGAAAGAATCTTTGACTGCTGGCCCGAAAAAATCCTCGCGTTATCAAAACAAAACAACATCCAATTATTAATTGGATTCTGACGCATAACCAAAAGTCTAAACTATTTGGCCCATAACCAGGGTAAAAGAACAATTTACCCTTTATCTACTTGGCCCAAAACCAAGGCCCAACTCAACTATTCAAAGGCCCAAATCCTAAAGCCTAATATATGGCCTAATTTGGACACATCATGGTCCTAAAATCCAAGGAATCCCAACATGCTAGCCCAAAGCCCAAAATAGAGGCCTAATGGCCCAACTAGGACCAAACTTCCAAATCCACACTATGGCCTAATACCGATGGCGTTAAGCCTAAAAGCCCATCTGCTGAGTACGCAGGGAGTACTCAGCTCGTACGCTTAGTGTACTCCAGTTGGGGCTAGTACACGCATCGTACCAGCTGGGTACATCCTGCGTACTCCTCAGTGTGCCAACTTACTCCATTAAGCACTTAACCCGCTAAGTCTGTTATCCAAACTCACTTATCACGTAAAGTTGGCAACTTTACATGCATGCATGGCTTAATGGGGCTCAAGAGCTCAAAAAGGGCTTAACAAAGGTCTTAATACATGCATGGGTCAAAATACACGATAACGTTTACATTTTTATGATCATGGGGACAGAATGGAGCTAAGATCTAGCATCCATTACTTCTAGAGTAGATAAAAAAACCCACCTTTAACATAAAAGGCTCAAAAATGCCCAAGAAACACCATATAGAAGATCTATCATAAATGAACATAAAGGTGTGAGTTTTTTACCTCAAAAAGCTTGCAAATGAGAAGGTGATCCTAGATTAGCTCAATCAGCTTCTTCTTCTTCTTCACCTTAAGACACCAAAAATCACTTTATCAAGCTCAAAAACTCACTAACACACTTAGGTTTTCGTTCTCTGGGACAAGGAGGATGGAGGCTGGTTATCCAGGAGATAGGTTTAAGATGTTTAAATAACACACAAACCCTAAAAATTAGGATTTGTCCCAGACCTATGTACGACATGCGTACTCCACGGACACCCCACTTGGGTGGAATACGCGAGCAATCATCGGGCTAGTACGCCAAGCGTACCACTTAGTACGCCCCACATACTTGCTAAAGGACCAAAATGCAATGTTTTTCAATAAAGGGGAGGGGTTAAAAGTGAAAGTTACAAAACTTGAGTGTTACAATATTATAGAGGATTAGGAACGAAAAGCCATAGTAGTTGGTATCCACTGCAAAATCACATTTACTCTTACTTTCAGACTTCATTTTTATGATATTGTATACGACTTTGAATAACCAAATTACCAAGGTATAAGCGACAAGTGCTTCAAATTGAAGACCCTAACTTCATAACAAATCAATACAAATTATGACCCTTATAGAGAAAGGAGAAGAGAGCTTTGGTCGTGGTATGACTCAAAAGGTAAAGTGACCATTCACTTAGCCCCCATGCAAGAACAACCCTAAAACAAGAACGTTTAGGGGTGTAAGTGAGCTGAGTTACTCGTGTGCTACTAGGGATCAACTCGTTAAAAGCTTGACTCGAGATCGAATTAAACAAGTTTGAGCCGAGTTCGAGCCTAAATATGAATATGAAGCTCGTTCATTAAACGAGCTCAAGCCGTGCTTTAATTTGTGGGCTCACGAGGCTAAATGAGCATATATATATATATATATATATATATATATATATATATATATAAAGAGAGAGAGAGAGAGGCTCGTTTAGGCTCATAAGCTCATTAAATTGTTTACGAGCCGAACTCGAGCTTCATTTTATGGCTCGAATCAAGCTTAAGCTTCTTCAAAATTAAACGAGCGAGCTTAGTCAGACTCATGTTCGGCTTGGCTCGTTTACATCCCTAATAACGTTTAAGCCCCTTCCAAATATTAAAATCATATGATTTTCCATGTAGGATGCCACACCATTCCCTGTGGATCCATGTTGATAAGTAACAATACAAATTGCATAAAAACAAGTTCGAATAGGTAAATAATGTCAAAATTTTGATTTTTAAGGTCAATTCAACTAATTTTGATGTTGAGTAATCAAATGGTAACAAAATGAACTTTCATGGTAAATTATATCACAGATCCTACTATAACTCATTATAAGTTACCGATTTAGTATGAGGGTGTTTGGTTAAGCTTATTAAAAATGCTTATTACTTTTTAATTTATAGCTTATTAGTTTATAGCGGTGTCAAAACAAAGTTTTTAAAAAAGTGTTTGAATTAACTTATCCGATGTCAAAACACTATAAATTAATAAGTCTTTTTAGTGTTTGGTAAAATAATAATAAAAAAAGGCTTTACGGAGATGTCGGACAACTGTTATTCGAAGTTTTGATAAGTTAGGGGTTAGTAACTTATAAAAAATAACTTATCTTTGGTTTCACACTGTTATAAATTATTTTATTTTTTTTTTAAAAAACAATCTATCCAAACATTCATTTTAACCTATAGAGGTAAGGAAACATTGATAAGTTAAAAAAAATGGTTAACCATGGATTTATAATAATTACTAATTTATCACAGTTTTACTTTAAAACTTATATAATACAAAATACTAGAATTTCAAATTTTATTAAAAAAAAAACAGAATTTACAAAAATTAACAAATTACAAAAATACGTTTACAAAACTTTAAAAAAGATCGATACTCTGTCTAGAAAATATTTGGTTCGATATGGACCAATAGACCATCAGGTTTCCTCACATAACATCTGTCTCATATTTGTTGGGTCTAGAAGGTCTATTCAAGTGCCCACAAGGCCACAATCTGACATAATGTACTATTATTAGTACAAATTGTAATTCAGGGGTCAAAAACAAACATACACTATAGTGTATGGGAGTAAAATGATGTATTCTCTTATTAAACTTTAAACCCCATAAACAACATTCTTTGCACAGTGAGAGAGAGAGAGAGAGAGAGAGAGAGAGGAAAGAGAGACCATTTATCCTCTGACTGTTTTTTTAACATTCGAGAGAGAGAGAGAGAGAGAGAGAGTTCAACTCTTTGACTCGGCCATGCCGGCAAAGAGTGTTATCTATCGATATTTATATCTGAAAGCGCGTTGATGCATACGAGCAAGTAAAGGTGTTCAATTTTGACTGTCATCCACGGAAAATCGTTGCACGAATTCTTTGATTTTGGAGAGCACATCAAAACCCTAATTTGGGTTTTCATTCAAATCAGGTCTAAAGGTATCATCAGTTTTGTACTATATCAAGCGCCGGATTGAATTTCATTTTGTATGATGTTAGTCGGTAACGATTATGCTTAATCGACGCACATCCACAGAAGTGAAATCGTTGTTTTTTGATTAGTTTGATCGGTTTTTTCTATAGCTGTGATTGGCGGTTAGTTTTGGGGATTTAATGGGTGGGATTTGTGGTAAGCCTGCTGCCATCGATGATGGCAGAGGGAGTACGAGTTCAAGGGAGAGAGTACCGAGTAAAGCTTCATCAGAATCGCGTGGATCGCGGTCTAAAAGGGTAGAAAGTTTTAGGGTGAAGAATAGAGGTGAAGTAAGAACTGGATCCATCGACAAGAGATTGAATTCTTCACGACGTGTTCGTGATGATCATTACGAGAAGAAGAGAGAGGTGTCAGAAGTGTTTATTGCTAATATTCCTGGTATAGGGACTATTCCAAAAGCTATAGAAGGTGAACAAATCGTGGCAGGTTGGCCTTCTTGGCTTGCTGCTGTAGCTGGTGAAGCCATCAATGGATGGTTACCTCGCCGAGCAGATACATTCGAGAAACTTGAAAAGGTATGTTTACGAAACTTTTGCGAAATTTGATATCTCAGGTGCTGAATACGTTCTGAATCTGATTGCTTTGATGCAGATTGGTCAAGGAACATATAGCAGTGTCTACAAGGCTCGTGATCTCACCAACAATAAAGTTGTTGCTTTAAAAAGAGTGCGTTTTGATAACATGGATCCCGAAAGTGTGAAGTTTATGGCGAGAGAGATTCTTATCTTGCGAAGGCTTGATCATCCCAATATAATCAAGCTTGAAGGAATGGTCACTTCACGCACTTCATGCAGCTTGTACCTGGTTTTTGAGTACATGGAACATGATCTTACTGGACTTGCATCATTACCTGGGGCTAAGTTCACAGAACCACAGGTAGACTCAGATTCTTTCTTCTTCTTCATCTTCTTCTTCTTCTTCTTCTTCTCGAGTTTTCTGGATACATAATGTTACATGGATGATGGATGCATTCTTGTATTGTAGGTTAAATGCTACATGCAACAACTGCTAAGTGGACTTGAGCATTGCCATAGTCGTGGTGTTTTACACCGTGACATAAAAGGGTCGAATCTTTTGATAGACAATCATGGAATCTTGAAGATTGCAGATTTTGGTTTAGCAAGTTTTTTTGATCATCGGGAAAACCTGCCATTAACTAGCCGAGTTGTGACTCTTTGGTATCGACCACCTGAACTTCTTCTTGGAGCAACTCATTATGGAGTTGCAGTGGACTTATGGAGCACAGGATGCATTCTTGGAGAGTTATATGCTGGAAAACCTATCATGCCTGGTCGAACAGAGGTCTAAAAACTTGACAGATTCCATTTCCTTCAGATTCCATTCCTTCCAAAAACATTCTCTGAACTGATCTTCCTCTTGGTTACTCTTTTGACTTGTGATTTCTATTTTGTAGGTGGAGCAATTGCATAAAATATTCAAACTTTGTGGTTCACCATCTGAGGATTATTGGAGAAAATCAAAATTACGTCATTCAGCAGTGTTTAAACCTACACAACCTTACAGATGTCGAATTGAAGAAACTTTTAAAGATGTTCCTCCTGTTGCTATCAGTCTTATGGAGATGTTACTTGCAATAGATCCTTCACAAAGAGGAACCGCATTATTTGCTCTTAAGAGTGAGGTAATGGGCCACAAAATATCACAAGTAAAGTAATACATAAAATTCAGGAAATAATGAATACATCAGTCAGTTTATGGTCATTGGATATGTTTTAAAGGGAACAAAAAAGATAACAACTTTTACTTAACCATTATTATCAATTTAGGCTTTTAACTGTTTTCTGTTGTGATTAAACCATTACTTTTACCCATTTAAACCATATACATACTGTTTTAAGCCACCTTTCAATTTTGTTAATTCTTTTTGTTTTCTTATGATAGACTAAAACTAAACATTCAGATGACTTATATATGATTATAATATTATTGCAGTTCTTTACAACAAAACCACATGCTTGTGATCCTTCAAGCTTGCCAAAATATCCTCCCAGCAAAGAAATTGATGCAAAACTAAGGGAGGAAGAAGCTAGAAGGTATGTGCATGTATTCATGTTATACTATTTACAACACTAAATTATGGAATCGGAGAAGGAATGGAATGGAATGGATAACTCCTGATTAAATCAACTTTTTAATGTTGTGTAGACAAAGAGCGGAATATAAGGGCCAAAAGGTGGAAAAGGAAAGCCGAGGACCAAAAGACCCTCGGGCAGTTCCAGCTCCTGATGCCAATGCTGAGTTAGTAGCATCAATGCAGGTATCAATTTAGCCACTAAACGATTATTATTTATATTTATATTTATATTTATGATTATTAATGATTTTATTATTTGTTAACAACACTTGAATCCAATTCCTTTCCAGAGAAGGCAAGACCGAGCAAACTCAAAGAGCAGAAGCGAGTACTTCTCCCGTAACAAAGACGACACGGCTTCCGGTTTCCCCATCGAAAACCCGAGACTCTCCCATTACTCGAAAGATTCAATCCGCGATTCCAAACCACACCCACCAATGCGGGAATCCTATTCCGGCCCGTTGGTTGCGGATTCCTGGACAAAATCAGGAAAGAAATACGACGATGTCTCAATCACGAGCCGAGCTGATTTATCTTCGCTCTCGGGTTTAGTGAGCTCCCGGATATTATCAGCTGAAGATCGTGAAAAACGTGTGTCTAATTCTAATTCTTCACAATTGGATCCAACAAATCAAATGGGAAGACTATCGGAATTCACCCAAGAATTCGGGCACTCCGGAAAGCATGATCGGAAAGATCTTTCCCGGAGATACATGGAAAGTGGAAGATCTAGTACTAAGGAACCTGCTCAGGTGAGTTATATGTTTATATATTATATTATTATATCTACAAATGAAGGAAAGTAGAGTGATGTTTAAATATGGTGTGTTTGGTTATATATTTATATTGTAGAATGGTCATGGATACAAGGGAAACAACAAGATCCATTTCTCGGGTCCATTGGGTTCATCGAATGCGAATGTGGACCAGATGCTGAAAGATCATGATCGACATATTCAAGAAGCTGCTAGAAGAGCGCGCCTTGATAGGACAAGGCTCTCCAAAGATAAAGCAGATGCAACACAAATGATGGCAAACCCTATTTATATGTCTAGCCGCAGACCCAGGTAATAATAGATAAAAATCTAGAGAGAGAGAGAGAGAGGGAGTCGATCGCTCTCCTATGTGACTGTATAACTGTGTACATAGTAATTATAGTAATTAATTATTGTCGGTAATTTTGGAATTTATTAGGATGTTGTGTTGGAATATATATAGGGGAATTTTATGGCGTAAATTTTGGTTTGGAAACGTCTTTATAGTAGATTGGTAAAAAAAAAAAAAAGAAGTAGAACGTTTGTTGTTGCATAAAAAAGAGATCTCAAATTTCGTGTTGGAATAAAAGGAGGCTGTAAAAAATTTTCTGTTGAATAAAACGGGGAAAAGGTAAAAACTACACGTGTGATCAGTTATATTGAACAGTATGAATCCATGCAAAAAAATCAAATAACGATAGATTTATAAACTTTACAAAAAGCGTCATCTCAATATCTAATAAATCTCAATAACTAACAACAAAAAAATTAACAAAAAAACTAGTAGTTACACATATGGTAATAAAACACAAAACCATCTGCATTTCTGAACGTTTGAGTTAATGTTGCGGTAGATGTATTCAACGAATCTGCAACTCATGAATTCTATCAAAACTTTTTTGTTTTTTTTAAAGAAAAAAAAAAAAACATAACAAAAATAAGTTGTAACTTGCGTCTCATGATGGCATCCATCCACGTTGCCTTTTATTTAATAAGTTGATGACAGAAATAATCTAAAAACATGTTTAATATAAATATGGAACCGTTTATAAAAATGTGAGCGTGGATAAAGTATAAACCCGATCGTGGGGGCAAGCCAAATTATATTATAATACCCCGGTAAATTTACTTAAATGAAACCTAAAAATGATATTATCAGTTTTTTAAATATCTTTTTGATACATGATATTTTTCTATGATTTTTATTATTTTCTTTTTTGGTAACAAATCAAATTCAATTCAAATTTTAAAAATACAAAATTATATCTTAATAACATTATTATGTTTATTTTGTTTAACAAATTAATTTATGACTTACAATCAACAATTTTTTTTTTTTGACATTTGTTATTTTTTTGTCTATATAAAAATTTTAAATATACTAGCAATGGTTTCGTATTATAACATAGTAGGCTAATACAAGAACAAGCCTCGTCATGCATAATTGCATAGGCAACCTGTGAGATCTCACAAGTCACATGTGGAATATTCTTTTTTTTTTTTTAGGGGGGCAAACCTTTTTTTTATTGGAAGAAAAATAGTATTTAATATAAACATATTTAGGTTGTGTTTTTCCATCGTCTGTGTTTAGTTTTGTTGTTTCACCAAACCAGTTTTCTTGTTGATCAGTTATGACCAACCGGCACATCAAAACAATAATCATATAAGTGCATTATAATGCATAATATAATCATCAAGAATGAAGTGCAATTAGGGGTGAGAGGTTAATAAAGAATGGATAAAAAGGGAGAAACTAACGAAGAAAGAAACCACACACGATACTAGACAAAGCAAAACTCGACATAACCCAACATGAAGTAACAAAGTTTTGTTTTTTGAACGACTAAGTAATATAAAAGTAGCAAGAAGCTTGAAGGAAACTTACAATTACAAATGGATAGTATTAGGCTTTGTAACAAAAAAACTAGGGGTGAACATTTGGACCGGACCGGTTTCGGAGAATATTGTGAAAACATAGACCAAACCGGATGAGACTTACCGGGTCTAGGTCCAGGTCTAGTTTTTTTAGTTCTTGGATACGTTTGGAACGGTACAACTTTACCTGCATACAATACAAATTGTTAAAAAGCATTTTTTTGGTTTGATACAATTCGTTAAAACGAATATATTGTTTGGTTTGATATGTTACAACTCGTAAAATGAATAAATTTTTGTTTATTGTACCCGTTGGACTGGTCAAATTTTGACTGTTTATATAATTTGTTTGAATTTTGAATCAAATAAGTTAATGACTTTATCATATTTCATGCATAACTAATATAATTTTATCTATAATATTATAACTTGCAAATTAATTTTCAAAATAAAATCACCTAACATATAAATCAAGCGTGCCAACAAAAGTTAACAAACACAAACATACAAAAGTAATTACCGTAACACCAAAAATCATAGTTTAAAATTTTTAAAATCAATCCAACTAAGAAACATCATAATCTATTCGTCCATTGATCTCTTCCCTATATCATTGTCATCTAAACCTAACATGTTTAAAGTTTGTTCAATCTCTATATAAACACAAAATGAAAACGTTGTTAGCATTTAATAAAAAGAAATAATTAAAAACTGAAATATTTTAATTTTGATATCCCAATTTTGAAGGATTGTGACTCATTGAATATAATATCAAAAACATCAAAATTATAGTCTAAATTCATCTACAAACTCTAAATTACATGTTTGAATAAACCGTATCTCAATCCGACTTAAAACAAATGAGATATGTTTGTTTAAAAACTTTAACAAAATACAAATTTTAATTTATTGCTGAAAAACTGAAATATTTCAGCTTTGATATACCAAATTTGAAGGATTGTAACTCATTGCATATAATACCAAAAATAACAAAATTACAATCTAAATTACAAGGTGGAAATTCGCATATCAATCCGACTTAAAACGAATGAAATATGTTTGTTTAAAGAATTTCACATAATACAAAAGTTTAAATTTCTTACAAAAAAAAAGAATATTTTAGCTTTGATATCCCAACTTTGAAGGATTATAATTCATTGAATATAACACAACAACAACAAAATTATAGTCTAAAATGATCTACAAACTCTAAACTAAACGTTGGAAAAAAAAAACGCATATCAATCAGACTTAAAACAAATGAGATATGTTTGTTTAAAAAAATTCACAAAATACAAAAGTTTAAATCAGGTCCAAAACCGGTTTTTAGCCGGAACCAGCTGGATCAGAGCGGTTTTGATCAAATCCTAGAACCAAGAATCGAATCGGGGGTCCAAAAAAAGGTCCATGTCCAGGTCCGATCTGATACGGTTCATTAGTCCAGTCCGGTCTCGCGGGTCCAAATGGTCACCCCTACCAAAAACCTAATTGAGTTTTACTTTTTCTATTTCTATGAATAAATCAATTAAACGAGTAAGAAACGAAGTTATCAAAAATAAAATCTCTACGGTAGCTATTGGATCATAACACATTTGCATTAGATAACTCCAAAGAACCCAAATGCCAGTCATAACAATCACATTTAACACTCATCTCTTTGTTTTCGAGACATTCAATGAATCAGTTAACCATCACACATAAAAGTATATAACAAAAGACAACATCAAATAACAATATCCCACCAACGGGCCAATAATTGTTTTGCCACTTCACAACTAATTAAGGTATAAATGATGAGTATCCTATGTAGCGTAAGTCCCTTAACAACAAGAACTCAAAGTGGAATCCATATCACCATTGTAATCAATATGGTTCCACGATTTAAAAGCACCCTCCAAAATAGAAATATTAATCAATTTAGGAATAACTATATTTTATATAGTACTCTCATTTCCTAGAGCCAAACAAATGACACCGTTAAAACATCTAGTAACTCTATATAAGTGATGAAGATCCCAAATCAATCCGCCCCTTTGATCCGAAGCCACAAAATTTTTTTATTATCTTTCAAGAAGAGAATGTCAGGAAAATATAAATAGAAAGGGGGAACTTCACCTATCCATACATATTTCCCAAACAATGTCATAAAAGGGGAACGAAATAAAAAAGTTTGTTGCAAGAGATTTCAATTTGTTTAAATATCCGAGTTAACACGACCATAAACAAAAATTAAACAAGGTTATGGTAAATGTTTTTTCAACCTAGCAAAAACTCTCCATAACACTACAGCTGAAAATGATGAACACTCATTGAAGGAGAACGTAATGGTTCGAGTAAAGTTATCATTACGCCCCCACAAATGTATTATTACCCGATGTTTTTTGAGACAATTTTTCGAATTATATGTGTTGTTCGATATCAAATGATAGAAAAGGCCATATGGCCATTTTGTAACGGAGTTGTGTTCAAATAGAAAAAGGCCATGGAGAGATCGTGTTGTTCGACCCATTTTTTTTCATTCTTTTAATTGTATTGTCATTCATTGTAACTTGTATACGTTTTAGCTTGCGTATAGTGTGTGGTTTTCTTGTCAAAAAAAAAAAAATCAAACGTAGGGCAAAACCGACCCGACCCGACCCGGATGTACCAGGATCAACAGGCAAAATGGTAAGACACTGGAGATGGCCTTATACCGTAAGAGGTTCTCCTGGAGGCTAAAACCCTCAAAGAAACCAGACAACGGAGGATCCTCCCGCACTCTCCAAATGCTATCTCGTATACTCTCTAAACCCTCAAGCCTCCGTTTTGTAGCCCTAATCTCATCATCTCAATCTCACTACAAACATCACCATCCTCCCCTGGTTCAAAACCCTATCTCCTCTACTTTCTTCTCAATCAACTCTCGCTATTTTTCCACCAATCGCGGAGACGGTAGTAAATCGTCCGATATCTGGAAGATTTCGTCGGGAAATGAAGAAAGCATCGAATCTGTGTTCGGTAAAGACACTGAGAGCCTCGAAGGTATCGCTGGTGGCGAGGATGCAGTAGAGGAGAAGTCTTGGTTTAGTATTGAATCGAAGGAGAAAGGAGGTAATGGTGAAGAAGATGATATTTTCAAGGTAATAGAGAGTGAGGGGAAAGGGGCTGAGGTGAGTGGTGCTGATACGTGGGGGGCGGAGGAAGGACTTAAGGCTTGGAATTTTGTGGTGGGAGATCAGAAGGAGGGAGACGGAGAAGATGGAATCTTTGATATTGGAGATGCAGGGGTTTCGGAATTGGCTGAGCTTGATGTTAATGTAGATGAAAAAATGGCGAGTCAAAAGAAAGAAGAAGATAGATTACTGGAGATTGAGGAGAAAGCTCTATCAGAGGTACTCAAAGGTATATATACCTTTCATTACCAAATTCTCATAAAAGTATAAAACTTGATAAAATATCATAAAAATTATATCAAGAGATCTTTGTGGAAACTCTGCTTCTAACTAGGGAAGTGGATCGAGCTTGTGAAATGCTGAAACACATATATATGGTATGGAAGTTTACCATCTCTCTGAATTGAGGTTATGATCTTAAATCATGTCTTATGTTATGACTCTGTGATTCTATGTAGAGGCATGCCTTGATTCGTTAGGAGAGGTTTGTTTGTGGATCCTCTTTAAGTTTTGCTTGAAAAAAACATATTGCAGCCTAAAATTAATATTCTAGGAGTAGTGGATATACGAGCAAACCTTACTATAAAAAGAATAAGGGAAAAGTAAAGCAAAGAACTTGTACTTTCACCATTTTATTGATTTAGCCACTTTGTTTATTGCTTTGATCAAACTATTATACTTGCTTTTGACCCTTTAGAAATACCATTTTCCTGGTTACCCAGTTTTGATATCAGGGCAAAATACAAAAAAGCACAACATAATCATTTTATTGAATTAGCCATTTGGCTATTATCATAATCAATCATAAAAAGTAATAGTTTGGTGACTAAATCGATAATATGGTGGAAGCACAGTGTTTTTCTGCATCTTAATTCTTAACCTCTTCCAAAATCTGGTAACCACAATAGCAAATTACGTTCATTTCTTTACTGATAACAGCCATAATGTAACTACTTTATAATATGGAGGTAAGGTCTAAAGTGTGTGTTGCATTTGCAGTTACATGCTCTTTAGTTATCAACTACAATTGGTGCATGCTTTTTTGAAAGATTTTGTTAACCCTAGAATTCAATACTACAGGTCCAGATCATGCATTTGGCGACTTGATTGCTGCATCAGGAATCACAGATGAGATGCTGGATAGTTTAATGGCTCTGAAGGACTTAGATGATGTTCCAGGATTGCCCTCACTGAGTGCAATTGAGGACATGAGATATGAAAAGAACACCAGGAAGTCAACTAGGGCAGACATTGAGCGACAAAAGCAAGAGGAAATTGCCAAATCAAGGGTGAGACAGGTTGATACTCAGGGTAGGGCTTATGGCACTGGAAAAAGGAAATGTAGTATTGCCCGTGTATGGATTGAACCTGGTGAGGGTAATTTTGTCATTAATGACAAACAATTTGATGTCTATTTCCCCATGCTTGATCAACGGGCGGCTCTTCTTCGGCCTCTTTCGGAGACCAAAACATTGGGCCTTCTTGATGTTAATTGTACTGTTAAAGGAGGCGGTGTGTCAGGTCAGCATTCAATTTTTGCAACTTATGCTTCTTTGAGTTTAGCCACTTAGTTTTTAGTGAAAAAATTATCATTATACTTTTTTCTTTATTGTTAATAATTGGGTAGATTTTTCAAAGTACAATGAATGCTATATAATACACAAATAAACGAAACAGGTCAAATTGGTGCAATTCGTCTTGGTATGAGCAGGGCATTACAAAACTGGGCACCAGATCAATTTCGTCCTCCTTTGAAAGAAGGTAAGTCGAGTTTTTGTTGGTTATTTAGACATTCTATATTTAAGTAGTTCACTTCTTTCTCCATTAAGCAAGTAAAAAAGAAACTGCACCTAACCTAGTACTAGGAGTTGTGTAGTTTTATAACTTTATTTATGTATAAACAATGATGTGTGATTTATGTTTTTGGCAGTGGGTTTCTTGACAAGAGACTCGAGGATTGTGGAAAGGAAGAAACCTGGTAAGGCCAAAGCAAGAAAGAGCTTCCAATGGGTTAAGCGTTAATCGGGTTTTGATTTACCAAGTCAAACTCAATTGCACCCAAAAGAGTCAAAATTGATAATTTGTAGGATCTTAACATAGAAAATGCAAAAATCATAATCTATGCCTTTTTGGACTTGGAAACCTTTGTGTGTTGTCTCTAGTTATTTTACGGGTTTTTGTGGTGGTTGGATTTTTGGTTACATTGAGGGTGGTGTAACGGTCGAAATAATAATATTGTTATTGGACTTTTATAGCGTTTTTATTGCATTAAAATGTTTCCGTTTGTTATAGGTGCCATACTTTTTACAAGTTTGCTCCTATTTTATCTCAAACTTTATATTCAAACACAAAATATAAACCAACAAATTGTACATTTACATCATATTTTACGTACAGCTCTACCTGTACAACAAATGTATATTTATTCATTTATACACCCAATTTGAAGCTTCAAAGTAATAAACAAGAATTTACGGGCTATAGCTACACATCCAAAAGGAGGAAAAAGATCGTATTTCATCCGGCCCACCCAATTTCCGAAGCCTTAGAATTAGATGCACAACCATACCCACCACAAACCCTAAAGCTGCACTCGATCCAACCAGCGAAACCGCAGTGCAAATAAGCACAACAAACGAATCCTCCTTGGAATTCATATCCCTAGCACACATCGCTAGCTCAACACCAGCAAACAGCAACAACACACCTAAAACCCCAACAGGAAACGAGATCAAAATCCTTACGATAGAGCTCCCAAGTATCAACCCTAGCAACAATTTAGCTGCACCAAGTAACGCTACACACCCACCACTTCTCCCTCCGAACTTATACTGACCCGCTAACCCACCCGCCCCATGACAAGTCGGCATTGCACCGAACCAACATCCGGTTAAGTTCATTAACCCGACTGTTACAGAAACCGAGGTTGGTGTCACGGTTTTTTTCGGGAAAAAGATCGGTCGATAGTTTGCAAACTGCGATAACCGAGTTAAGAATGGACAAGGGCAATTGCGGAATTGTGCCCTTCACAAACCCTCGTTTCCAAGCACCTTTTTGAAATTTTAACTACTTGTATAGAAGATGGCCCCAGTTTGAACCCTTTCAGCACTTTAGGCTCTCTTATAATTGCCAAAATTACCCCTAACAGGAACACAATAAACGCTGAGGGTAAATAACTTACCACGTTCCTTCTCCAGTTTCTTCGTTTATTATCTTGACTCTCTTCATCGTTTTCGTTTTCGTTTTCGTTTTCGGGTTCTTGGCCTCCACCATTAACAATTGTGATAAAGCAAAAGCAAAAGATTGCGAGAACTAACCCATCGAGTCCTAACCAATTCCGATTCCCTTTGGATTTTGACGTTGAAAAGTCTTGAACTTTCCGTATGTACTTGACTGCAGTCATGGCAAATGATAGACCTTGTGCTAGCTGAATTCCCCTGACCACCGGCAACGGAATCATCCGGTAAGCTAGCTGCATGAGACCGGTCGCACCCAGAAAAATTAAAACTGCACCTGTGCAGATTCCGGCGGCCATGGTCTCCGGGATCCCAAAATCGGGGTCGGAGATAGCCACCGCAGCAATTGATTTCAAGGGTTGGACGGGCATAGGGACGCCGTAGATTGCACCTGTTACGATATTGTAAACGCCGGTAAAAATCAATGTGGTGCCCAAGTTGAGGTCAGCGGCAAGTGTTAATGCTAAAACGATGGGTATGTATGTCCCTAAGTCGCCCATTGCTCCGTTGAGTTCCGCCCATTTTGATCGGAAAACCAAATTTTCTTTCAGCTTTTTGGCCAGGGTGGTGGTGGTGGTGGTAGGGGTGGTTTGCGGTGGGGATTGGTAGTTGCCGGACTCCATGAGGTTTGAATTGTAGTGTTGTAGTTATATAGAGGGGTTCTGGGGTTGGGATACCACCTTTTATAAGGATGGAGGGAATTGAATGTGCTATTATGATGTGATGTCACTATCTCACTATCTAAGGCATCTTTTAGTCAACTGCCGCAAATTTATCGTTCCAAGACAATTGAAGGGGTCAATTTGTTTGTTGTTCTCAAATAAATCACAAAAATCAGAAATTAAGATTTTTTTTGTTTGTTAGTTTGTTAGTTTTTGTTTTTGTTTTTTTTAACACACAAATATATTAAACAATTACCACCACCAAGTAACTAGTGGTAACAAGGAGTACAAGTACATAAAATATTTACAAGTAATTAAGGGAGAAGACAAAACTTCCAATCTAAACTCCCCTTTGATGATCTATGTTTCAACTTTCAACCAAACGAAAACCATAGATTTTGCTATATCAAGAATAGCTGCCGGTGAGGTCTTGACTCCTTTGAATACCAATTCATTACAGGCTCTCCAAATGCACCATAAAGCACCAAAAATAATACTACATAGCACCTTTTGCTTCTTTCGATTTTTTTCCCTGTTTACATGCGAATGTCACGATCTCTTTCACGGACTCGAAACGTTGAATCACCAGGCCACACCAATTGAGAATCGTATTGATCACTTGTTCTGTCATTGGGCAAAAGACAAGTAAGTGGTTCTAGCATTCTGTATTATTACCACATGCCTGACATTTCAGTGAATTAATATGAACTCCTCTTTTGCTTAACTCCATAGCACTTGGGATCTTTCCCAACCTTGCACGCCACACAAAACACAATACCTTGAACCGAATCAATTTTGACCATGAGAACACACAATCACAGACAAAGTGGGGGGCATGCTCAATCTTTTTCCGCAGTTCAGCCACCACAAAGGATTTTTCATCTGCAAAGTCGGACTCCAACCAAGTGTTTGATACGTTCCATCTGATGATTTGCGAAGGTGTTATACTTAGTTTGCCCAATTCTTGAATGCTTGTTGAGATATTCAACCATACACCATGTAATGCTTTATTCGATATTCTTTCTGGACAATTTTGATTTAACTTGTGAAGCCTACTAATCACCTTGGCCATAGTGAATTTTGGTCTGTCTTTAATCTCCAAATCCATTTTGCCATTAAAGATAAGTTTAGGGCTCTAATAGAGCCTAATCCTAGTCCACCAACATCTCTTGGGGCAAGGATTTTTTTCCTAGTGAATACTTCTATTATTTTGAGATCCTTGCCATATGAAGCACCTCCTTATTCTATCAATTTCTTCCACAGCCCCGATTGGAGCCAAGAATATTGAGAAGAAGAAGTTTGGGAGATTGCTGAGCACCTGCCAATGTTACACGGCCACCAAAGCTTAAAATCTTAGCTTTCCACAAGGAAAGTTTAGATTTTATTTTGTCGATTATCGGTTTCCATGATCTCTTGAGGATCATATTGGCTCCCACAGGAACCCCAAGATATGTGAATGGTAAGGAAGCTGGCTCACAGCCAAGAGGGAAAGCCCAACTTTCCACCTCATTGGTATTTTCACCTACACCAAATACCCGAGATTTATCAAAATTTACTTTGAGACCAGATGCCACATGCCACATGGAAGCATCTAAGAATTCTAGCAAGGTTTGCTATGTTTCTTATTGACCATTAACCTAGGAACAAGACATCATCCACGTAAAATAAATGAGAAACAATCCTATTTGTGTTAGAATCAAGATACCTTCGAATATTTCTTTTGACCCCCCTCCTTAATTGCGATTTTGACCCCCCCTCCATTGCAATATTGAACCAGTATGGAGATAATGGGTCACCTTGCCTCAATCCTTTTGATGTTGGGAACTCTGCGGTGGGACTACCATTGAGAATGACTGAGGCTTTTGTGGATTCCAAACAGCATATAATCCACCTTCTCCATTTTTTCCCAAACATCATTTGTTCCATAATCGAGTCAAGATACTCCCAATTTACCAAGTCAAATGTCTTATTCAAATCCACATTGAATAATAGCATTTGTTTACCTCTTTTCTTCACCCAGCGCCTAACTGGTTTACGATTAGCGGGCCTTCAAGAATGTTTCTCCCTTCAATAAAGGCGGATTGTTCCTCCCCAATGCAACTACCAATAACACTTTTAATTTGGGTTGCAAGGATTTTCGCAATGATTTTGTACATCGATACGATTAGGCTAATTGGCCTATAGTCAGATAGGCTTAATGGGTCTTTAACCTTGGCCGCAAGAGAAATAAACAAAGAGTTAATTCCCTTTGAGAACTTACCACAACTTTCAAAATGTTTTACAAATGAAAAAATATCTTATTTTAGCATCGGCCAATATTTTTTCAAGAACTTGAAAGTAACTCCGTCATGCCCTGGAGCCCGATCATCACCACAAGACCATATTGTCGACTTTATTTCCCCCAAATTAATTTCAGCTTCCAACATTTCCTTATTTAAGCTCGAAAGTTTCTGAAATCTCGAACTTCTAATTTTCGGTCTAGAGAGCCAACGATCCATGAACTTAGCCGAGAAGAATTTATGCATCTCGTCTTTGATAGCAGCCGGTTTTGGAATCTAATAGTTATCGATTTTGAGTCCATAAATGTGATTTTTCCTTGCTTTAATGTTAGCAAAATCATGAAAAAATCTCATATTTTCGTCTCCATCCGTAACCCACTTCACCCTGGCCTTCTCGCAAATCTAAAGTTGTTATGCGAACCGATTCCGTGTATTTTTTTTAGTTCCAAGGCCCTATCTTCCAGTTCTTCCACCGACAGCGGCCTATTCTCAGCAATGAAATCAATCTCATCAATCCTTTTTTTTCAAGCATAATCGAATTTGACTCCTTGGGGAATTCACTAACACGCCACTTCTTAATTCCTTCTTTAATGCATTTAAGTTTTGCAGCCAGCCTAGCATCAAGTGCCCCTGTAACCACGAAATTAAGAACAACATTGATGCACAATCTGGTTAAAGCTTTCACGTAGAAGCCATGAGTTAAAAAATTTAAAAGGCCTAGGGCCATAGTCTAGGAACGAAGTTCGAAGGAGGATCGGGTAGTGGTCTGAGAGCTCATGAGTTAGTGCAGTCACCGAATCACAAGGGAACATATTAAGAAATTCTGAACATACCAAGAATCTATCAAGTTTACTTAGCTTGGCCCCTTCTTGTTGGAAGTATGTAAATCTGTGCCCACCCATACGGAGATCATGAAGTTCTGCTTCAATAATGAACTGATTAAAAGTATGAGCCGAATAAGCACAAAAACGCGAATTGATTCTTTCTGCCTGGTGCCTGACCACATTAAAGTCACCGATTAAAATCCATATAACATTCCTGTTACTTTTGATGTGAAGTAATTCTTCCCATACTTTTGCCTTTTCAGCAGGGGACTTTGGACCATATACATTTACCACAACAACCACCCCCTTGACTCCAAAACATTCACAAAAAAGTATTACGAATTGTTTTAATTTTATGACCTCCCATACCTTGTATAAATTTGGATCGTAGATTGAGAGAATTCTATCACACCCCCAAACCAGAACGGTGGAATCGTTCGAGGGCGGTTGACTTCATGTAGTATCGTAACAGTTGAATACATAGTAAAGAAAGTAAAACAACCAACATATATATATATATATATATATATATATATATATATATATATATATATATATATATAATTGAAAAGTTACATTGTTGAATGATACTTGTTTCAAAACAAATTACAATATGATGACAAAATGAGTTTTAAACTAACGCCTTAGCATCACTTCTCCAAAAGCTGATGTTTACATGTATTACTGAATCTCTGAGAAATACAAATAGTTTTGAAAGAGTGTCAACAATTAAGTTGGTGAGTTCATAAGTATTTAATGTCAATGTTTGTATATGTTTGAAAACTCCTAGAAAATCTCATATTTCCTACTATTATAAAAGTAGTGTTCTACCAAGACCCGACTGTTTTGAATGTTTGCTTCTAAAAATCCAAAATTTTTCCATAAGTGTGTGATAGTTTAAAAGTTCCAAAACTGTGATGCAATAGTGTTTTTCATGCCTAGAATAGTAGATTTATGTATGTATAAAATCACTAAGACATTTGATAACCGCGCAAATCAACGTGTTTTTAATACTCCATGTGATTTTTATAACCATGCTATTGACCCAGACTGCCTATAACAACGTTCTTTAGGCATTGGAATGTTATGACGTTTGTCACCCCAGACCTGCCGGTCTAACTGTAGCTAACAATTTAGGTGCGGGATTGTCAATCCCGTATAGATCTATACACAAGTATCACGCTCTCCCTACAAGAGATTATGGTATATAATACAGGACTTTAACTGCATACTGAAAATACGTGAAGTTGAATGGCTCACAAAACTTAGTATCAAATAGATTTACGTATGAAGATTTCATTTGTTCTTGTATATGGAAGTATTTCCTTGATATAGTACTTATAGTATGTAAAATCTCATGATTTCTTTGTAAACTATACCTATTATAGTTTTTCTAAAAGTGTTTCGTTTATATGGTAAACCCTAGTGTAGTATCGACTTTGTATGTAAAGTATAACATTTGTAATAACATTATTGAACATTTATACTCAAAATATAAATAAAGTGTTTGATATTTATATAACAACGTGTTTTATTCCAAAAGGACAGTGTGTTATCGTGATATGTTGCATGAGAACGTTTTCGTATGATAATTATAAATCACATATGATTGATTATATAATAAAAAGTATAGCAAAAGATTGATGTTTTTTACACGAGGATAACTGTGTGTTTACTTGTATTCCCCCCCCCCCCCCCCTTAAAATTGTATGAAAGTATTTACAAAGCATTTGAAAACGTAGTTGTAGGGGTATGAACTTACTTGATAGATCGAAGAAGGTGAGACAAAAACTGAGCAGAAATTCGACTGGAAAAAGTTGATTTCTCGGGATTCTCGGGAATCTCAGGAGTGTAAAAT